GCCAAGAAAAGCCTATCTTAATGCAATGACACACTATTTTCCAGCACATGGATGATATAGTTATATCAAGCTACCACTTAGGCGATGTTTGTGTGCTAGGTATCCCTTGATAACTCCTAGAGACAACAAGAATCTTGACAACTGCCAGTTGTTCTGCTAGATAAGCTGAAGATTAGTATGTGGGAAACAAGAAACTGGAATATGCCTAACCAGCAAAACAATTGTAGTTGATCAAATCTCAAAAATCAACTACAACACTAAGCTCCTGGAAGAAGAATTTTAGGCCTTTAATCTAAATCAGACGGCCCCTAGCTCCGTTGTCAACGCCAAAATTTTTTACAGACATCAAAATTTTAAATTTCTTAGATGCTACTACAGTTATATTCTTTTTTATCCATTGTTGCATCATCTCAACATGTCTATTAATTTTCTCGTGAAAACTCATCCCATCTTTTGAGACGACGTGAAATGTAGAAATTAAATGTACATGTAATTCTAATTTGCCTCCCATGGAGGATCAACAAACTAATGTAATGAGTAATGACAATACATGTAATTCTAAATCACACGTGTAATTTAATGATATTATAGTTGCCAAGATTCCAATCGTCTCTAAAGGTGTCAAGATCCGTTTATTTTGCCAAGTTATTTGATGAAAAAAGGACACGTACAGATCAATATTTTTAAACATAAAGAGTGATAAGTTAGAGCTCGGGTGATGGATCAGTGGCTGTTGGAGGTGCTGAGGGTTAGAAGAGGGCAAATTTAGTCCATTTTGTATGGTTTAAAGACAAATCTGACCATTTTCCATTTATAAAAAAGTCTCGCGCATTAAAAAGTTTTTTATTTTTAGTCAATATATAAAAATATAGAATGTATAAAAGTAACAAGTAGTTGCTATAGATTCATTAGCATGCATTGATGTTAATGATGGTATACAAGTTGGTATTTTGGATATGGAAAATGATGACCATACCAGTTTCCCTTAAGGGTTACTCTTGGTTCTACAAGACTACAAGTAACTAAAATGGGATGAGACCAAACGAATCATCAGGCTCATGCCATCTTCCTACCATAAAAAGAAGAGAGGTTGTTTCCTATAGACCCTTGGCTCAAACAGATGAAAAAGAGTATAGCAGTAACAAGCAGGAAGAGCAACACTAAAATACAATAATCAAGGCTAAAGAATCAACAAATAGAAACAGAAGTAGATATCTAAGAATACAAAAATACAAGGCTAATACTAGTACTCCAGAAATGGGAAAACAAAGCACTCAACTATATACTAACCATCTATCCTAATCCTCCACCCTCCTGTCAAGGTCATATCCTCAGTGAGCCAAAGCTGCGCCATGTCCTGACTAATCACTTCACCTCAATACTTCACTAATCTGCAACGTTATTTGTGAAAGTGTGTATCTGACAGATGGGTTTTGATAAATTCTCTTATTATATAAGAGGGAGTTTATGATGGGATATTGTGATGTCCAATTATAAATTCCCTATATAATATATAATATAATAAATCATTTTTTCTACTATATAATATATATTTATTTTTCTACTATAAGGGAGTTTATATAATATATAATAATATAATATAATAAATCATTTACAAATGACTTAAAATATTTCATATTTAAAGGATATATAATAAAATAGGTTCACTCTCAAAATTCTATCTGGGTCACATATATTGGGACAGAAAAAATAACATATATCATTTTAAAATTACCAAAAAAGTATTATAAATAATAATAATTAACAATTTAAAATATCTTAAAGACATTTTAAAAGGGTTAATTTTGTAATTGTAATTTCTACTATATAAAAAAAGGGAGTTTATATAATATATATTCTACTATTATATAATATCATAATAAAACCCCTTTTATTATATAGTAGAAATAAATATAATATATATATATATATATATATATATATATATATATATATATATATATATATATATATAATATAATATAATATATAATAATATAATATAATAAATCATTTACAAATGACTTAAAATATTTAATATTTAAAAGATATATAATAAAATAGGTTGACTCTCAAAATTCTATCCGGGTCACATATATTGGGACAGAAAAAATAACATATATCATTTCAAAATTACCAAAAAAGTATTATAAATAATAATAATTAACAACTTAAAATATCTGAAAGACATTTTAAAAGGATTAATTTTGTAAGTTTATCCATATCACATAAATTAGGACAAAGTGACCAGCAATGTAAGTTATTTGAAAGTTACATAAAAATATTATAAATCACAATAATTAATAACTTAGAACATTTTTTTTTAAAATGCAAATTTGGATGACTCTTCAAATTTCATTTGTGTCACATAAATTGAGACAACAAAAATAACATATATTGCGCCCATTTTAATTTATTTGTCTTAATTTTTTTTTATATTTAAAAATTGCGTAAAAATACTATAAATCATGATAATTGACAACATAAAATATTTCAAAAATAAATACATATAAAAAAATTCGATTAATTCTTGAAATTAATCTATCGTTAAAAATTATGTATAAAATACAATAAATCGTGATTTTGACCACTTAAAATATTTATTAAAAAAGCAGAAAAAATAAATTGACTGATTCTTAAAATTAATCTATCAATGTCACATAAAATGAGACAAAAGTAGTAATATGTATTGTTTAATGTGAAATTATTGAAAACTACGTAAAATGTATTATAAATGTTAACAATTAACAACACTTGATTGAATCTTGAAATTTTATCAATGCTACATACATTGGGACAAGTGGAGTAATATATATTAAGTATTTAAAAATTACGTACAACCATATTGCTTTCTGTAGGCTTCGAATTATTGTGGTCATTTTTTAGGCTGATACAAGTTTTGTACTTTTTTTTTAATATTATAAATCGCAATAATTAATAATTTAAAATATTTTAAAAATATATTAAAAATTTAGTCGGTTTCGGGAATTTTATTTATACTATATAAAATGGGACAAAGGAAGCAACATATATCATTTACAAATGACTTAAAAAGCATTAAAAATTAGAATAATTACCAATTTAAAATATTTAAAAGTTATATAATAAAATAGGTTCACTCTCAGAATTCTTTCAGGCTCACATATATTAGAACAGGAAAAATAACACATATCATTTTAAAATTACCAAAAAAGTATTATAAATAATAATAATTAACAACTTAAAATATCTTAAAGACATTTTAAAAGGGTTAATTTTGTATTTTTATCCATATCACATAAATTAGGACAAAGTGACCAGTAATGTTGGTTATTTGAAAGTTACATCAAAATATTATAAATCACAATAATTAATAACTTAAAACATTTTTTTAAAAAAAATTAAAATTTGGATGACTCTCCAAATTTTATTTGTGTGACATAAATTGAGACAACAAAAATAACATATATTGGGTCCATTTTAATTTATTTGTCTTATTTTTTTTTTGGGTTTTTTATATTTAAAAAATGCGTAAAAATATTATAAATCATGATAATTGACAACATAAAATATGTTTTAAAAAAAAATAGAAAAAATTCCACTCATTCTTTAAGTGAATCTATCGTAAAAATACTATAAATCATGATAATTGACAACATAAAATATTTCAAAAATGTTGTATGTGAATAGTCTTATTGTGCCTTGAATAGCGTCAAATAAAGTACAAGTTTGTGATAAAAAAACTTATTCCTTTATCCACGCAAACAATCGCTTCAAAATCTCCGTTATTAACCCCAAAACATACCATTTATATTATTGGGCCCGTGCCCGTGCATAGCACGGGCAACATTACCTAGTTTAAGATAGAATAGGCAGATGGGATGAATAATGACGCAATCAACAAATTTGAACATTGCAAAATGTTATACTGAGCTGATATTGTTATTACTGGTCCCATGTCGGATAGAATGCACCATATATTTATCATAAAAATGTATTTGGGTCATCTATCCAGTCCTATATACACATAATTAAGATACAGATTATTATCAGAATTTAAAGAACAAGGCCATGTACAACAATCTGAATACAACTAACTTACGAATATTATATCTCTCTTCTCAGGCAGGTCTTTTCCCAGGCAATCAGCAGTTTCAATGACTTGCATCACCGAACAGCCTCTTCTCATGTTCAACTAGTGTAATCTCAATCCAACTGAAAAATGCCTAAGTCAGAGCGAGGAGCCATTGTTTGTGGAAGCATTCACACAGCTTACAATTCATCCGTCTTCAGAAAATATGCAGGCAGTCCTCAAGCTCTCTGTTTACTATATATGGGTATCTGGAGTTGAAGATGAACATTTTTTCTGCTGCAGCAAAAAACCAGGAATGCAACTTTTATTTTTGTTGGCTACATTTATTTCAGCAGAACTTATGAGCTATCATGTCATAGCCATAACTTCAGTTCAGCTTTGGAGTGATATGCTCTGCTTCATCCCATTGCAGCAGATCACAGTTTCCATGGGGAATGTATGTGCAGGTTAGGGTTTAAGGAAGAAGCTAAAAGATCTCTGAAGTGTTAAGAATGTTACTTTCTGATAGAACTCATCCAACTTATATATGCAATTAAAACAAGGCAATTATTCTTGCGGGGCGTGGAGATGGCAAGTGTTTTAGTCGGTAGGGGGCATGGAGATGGCGAGTGTTTTAGTCTAAAGCTAAAAGCACATATGTTGGTGTCAATAATTTATTCCTTTCAGAAACTCATCCAAATTATAGATGCTTATGGGAGCAGTTATTCCTCACAGGTCTCAACCATAAGAAGAAAATTTTACAAAAAGACGTACTAAAAATGGTCTCATAAATCTGTATTGACAAATTCAATCTTTAGTTCTTTACTGAAAAAGCTTTATAAAGGAATATGTTCACTGTAATCGAGCTTAATCTGCTTACCAAGATTGTTAAATAAGATCAACTTCCAACTTTAATATCATCCATCAAGACAGACATTGATCATCTAGCTTCAGAAAAATAAGAAGTCAGTTGGCACCATCAATAGCAATATATGTTGATAAACTTTCACATTTCATGCCACGTTCATGATGATGCCACCATTACTTTCTCATAAGCATTTTCCATCCCCTTGTCATCACATAACCTCTGCGACAAGCTTCGCACCCCAAGAGTCTTATACTGCCACACAATATGAGATATCTCATCTTGAGGAAAACACATACCATGCTGTTTAACTGACTTCTGCAGCTGGTAGAAAAACTTGGGGTCCTGTAAGTTGATATACTCATGCAACACCTTCTCATGATCAGGGATCCAATTCCTTGGAAATGGAGTGTAATCACATGACGGGATTGAGGACATGTGGGAAAACCGAACACCTTCAATAGCATCAACAAGTCCCATCCTCAAAAGATCTGAATACTCAGGTGCAGAATTGTTGGTGTGCTCCCTCAATGGACAGCTTAAATCACGCGACGCAATCTTATAAACCTTGGCACGAGATTTCAGCCTATACCTGGCAGCATATAACTTAGCCAGAGAGCTACGAACCACATATGCACAAAAGCCAACAACTTTTCTCCGATTATCTGCATATCTGAACCAATCAGCCATTGTCTCAAGGAATTTGTTCATCTGAGAATTAGTGTGAGCTTGACCAGAGTAAAGCATAGGTGTGCAAGGCAGTGGCTCTGGATCCCTATCACCTTTCACAAGCTTGAGCTTTCGAAACTGGTGGATACATTGTTGCAAGCTAGCAGAGACTGAAAGCAAAGTACCTACACCTTTCTCACTCACTATATTACCACCACTGGCTGTGTAACGTAGAGTTGGATAAATAACACGACGACAAATAATATGATCCAGGAACTGAATTCCCCTAGAAATATGCTCAATCTCTATTTTTGAATTGTCCAACCTGACCCCAAAAATTCTCTCACAAAATTCAATTATCTCTTTCCTCATTTCCACGGCATCTTGTCTAGGCCCTCGAATCCCAACCAAGAAATGACCCCCAAACCTTATAAAATCCATCTTCCTCGTCTTCTCTTTTCCACTTGAAGGAACAAACTCAGGCCAAGCAGGATTATGACAACCATCATCCATAGAATATTTCCATATCGTGTCTCGCTCACACGGCCTAAAAAACTCAACTATTTTCTGTTCCATCATATGATCAAGCTCATTAAGACATACATTAGCCAACAAAGGACTTAGAATTCCACAACCACCATAATTGGGTATCTTAGAAGCCTCCTGCGGAGCAAACTCAAAGAATGTCCTTAACCAATAAGGGTCTGGCTTGGGCTCATTCTCATTTAAAATCCTCTTTTTTGTCCGCCCCTTCTTTCTCTTCCTGCTATCTTTTTCTTCTTCACCCTCCTCTCCACGTCGATGAGCTTTCAACCCCGACTTTATTAAGTTCAACACCTTCTTATCCTTGATAGCCTTTTCGAGAGTAGCCATAACGACATCAACATCAACATTATCAAAAACCTCACTAATATCACCTTTCAGAAACCACAAATAACCAGCAAAATTACTTCTAATCGTCCTAATAACAGTATGGGGATTCCTTCCAGGGCGAAAAGCGTGGGACTTTGATGAAAACCTAGGCTCAAAAATGGGTTCAAATATCATAAGTAAAGCTTGTTGTACCACAACATCCTGAAAGGGCGGCGTTTTGGATGTGAGTATAGATTGGAGCTGACTCCTGGAAAGCTGCTCAGTAATGGGTTTTTCATTAGGGCCACGAATATATTGATGGATTTTTGTATGCCAAAGGAATTTTCCACGGATAACTGTATTCCGGAGGGATAAGAGCTCGGATAGAACATGGGATTGGATAGCATTCCGAGGGGGGAAAGAACCAGTGAGATGAGCATATGTGCGTTGGTAAGCGAGGACCCAGAGATCGAGCTTTGAGAGAAAGCCAGTGAGGTTAGTGAAGGGCTTTTGGGGTTGAGAGAAAGTTTTGATCCACAGATTAGACAGGATTTCCAACGGATCTTCCTTGAGAAGAGAATGAGTACCTTCTTTGCGGAGGCAGTGGCGGGGCTGATGCCGGAGGCGGCGGATGGTTTTGGCGCACGAGAGGTGTTTGATTTTTGTTCTCACTGCCATTTTTTCTATAAAAAAAAAAAAAGGCCTTAGCGAGTGCCTCTACTATCACTCAAGTTACAAAATAAATTCGTTGGTCACTATTTTTTCATACTATATTACTAATTCATTGGATTACATATTTTTATTTACAATTCTTTTCTATAATACATAATACTTGTGAATTCCGTCCAAAATTAAAAGATATTCGCGTAATTATTATATACTGTAGAAGAAGAACCAAATCCAAGAGGGTAAATTCTCATCAACCTAAACTAGAATCACCTTTAATGTTCTAAACCATTTATTATGTAAAATCATGGCTTTGACTGCATTTCCTACCTCGAAAAAGTATATAGGGTGAGAATCCCTCTCTCATTCATGTAGTGATAAGATTATACTACTTATAACAATAATTAAATCTGTATCATCATTTTCTTTTTCCGTGTTATAAGAGGAGTTGGTGATTGCCTATTTCGTTCTTTGTTAGAAAAGAGAAGGTAGACGGGACGGCACATGTTATTTTTGCAACTATTACATCCAGCCCAGGTTAACAACTCCACCATGACAGCAAGGCAACTCGTCATGCTCGCCAGTCCCTATGATTATAAAAGATTGGACTCCATTGTCTGACTACTTATGTTTTTAAACTAACTACCTACTTAATTCAAATATTGTCTTAATTACCTATCGTTAAATTTTATTCATATTTAAATGCTAGCCTTTTTATTCGTTGATGTTTACTGATTAATCTAACAGTAGTCAAAATAATCGTGTTTGTTACATGCACATTGTGATCCTAGTAAGAAGAGTTTGCAACACCTGCAGAACGTTGTGTTTGAGGTTTTGATAAATTTAAGACAGAATCGGCAAATCAATAAATTTGAACAGTATTGCAAAATGTTATTACTATTACTGGGTCCTACCTTCGGATAGAATGCACTATATATCTATCATAAAAAATATATATCCAGTCCTATATACACAAAATTTAACATACAGATCATTATCAGAATTTTAAAGAACAATCTGAATACAACTTACTTACAAGTTACAAGTATTATCTCTCGTTCTCAGGCAACCAGCAGTATTAATGACTTGCGTTACCAAACAGCTTCTTCTCATCAATCCAACTGAAAAACGCCCAAGTACAATAAGCCATGAACGAACAACTCTTCATGCTTCTTTTTTTTCCCTTAGATGGTTTAGAGATGCCACCCCTACTTCGCTTATTTGCAATTATCACAAGAGTACTGTCCATCTGTACATGAACATGGCCTGCCGTAGCTCATATATCTATCTCTAACAATCATTTTCTCAAAATATCAAACCCAATAGCAGCTCCAGGAGCACAGAGTCCTCAGTCTGGCTCAACTTAGTCCGTCGGTAGCTACCAAACTTGCCACAGGGACCGACTGGCCACCATGTAGGGTTCACTTCAAGCCTCAATGGTGCCAATGGGGCAAACAACCACCATGACACTTAGCGCCAAGGTAAGTCATAGCATGTCATAATGTCTCCAACCATAAATACTCCCATTTAGTGCCAAGGTAGTCATACCATTTCATAATATATATACATCTCCACTAGCTCAGGTCCCCTCTGGTAAGCACATCAGTGACTTGAGGATTGGTGCCTATCCTAGGGCATTTAATCCCCTTATTTCAGGAATTACCTCTGCCATAAACCCCGCTTCCAAACTAAAACTGATCAAGCTGTGATGATGCTACAGCAAGAGCAGAGAAAGACAACAAGGTTTCTGTTGCTCCATTTCACATTGTCCTCTGTTCAATAACTTCCAACAGTACCATAATAACAGGCACCCAGAAGACATAACCTTCTCAAGGTAGTGCTATACCAATTTCTCATGCTCTTTAAGCCAGATCATCTTCTTCAATGCGTTGTAGAAGTTCCTCATACACCTTCAAGGATTTGGCAGTAAACCTTTCCATGGCCTCAAAAATATGTCTCAGACCGACCTGAAGGCTACTATTTTTGCTTGTGTCACTCTGGTAAACGGCATGCCTATTTAATGAGAGACCAGTTTCATCCCCAGAAATGAGTACTATTCTTTTGTCCAGTGCATGAATCCCCTTTTGTATCTTCTGATCCTCCCTCTCAAGGTTTTTCACTTTTCTCTCCATATCCTTGTGCACCATCATCCTTTGCCGCATTTCATGTTTATCTCGCTCCCAGAGCTGAAGGACATTTGATGCGAAATCTCGCATACAGTCAACAACCTCTTTCTCAGAAACTCCTTCAATGGTTTGTGACCACTGATTACAGATGACAAAAATTGGGGGAGCACCAATTCTGCCTGGAGAAAAGGGAACTCTTCCATCAGCTGTTTCCTCGGGGACATACAGAAGACATTTCATGAGCCAGGTGTTTAGTGCTCTCACATAGCCCTTCTGTGCATTCACCCAGCAAGAGAATCTCAAAGTCCAGTTCAAAAGCTCATGTTCAAGCTGCAGAGTGGCTTCAAGATGAGCATCACTCAAGTGTTTGTGAGATGCAATGGCATCTAATCTTTTGGCTTCTCCAATAGCCTGGCATTGGTTACGATGACACTCAAGCATGCCTTTCCACATTTTACTTAACCTAAATAGAGAATCCACATAAGAGAAAGTTGCATTAGATAACTATTTTGGCCTAAAGGAGATAAAAGTTCAGCTGAAAAATCTCTAACAATCCGACAGTACTAGGAATAGACATTATATCAAGATAAATCCCAGCATCCCACAATAGATTGCCCAGCTGTAACTGACTGATGCATTCGCAACTCCAGATATTGCATTCAGTTTTTAGTGAAAGCAAGAATCCTCTTCAGGAGTCTCACATTTCACAAGCAGCTATACATTCATCCACCCTTGACTTTCTAATAATACAGTATAATGTGTGTTTGTAAAGGCTGAATATGTAGGTCATAGCTTCCACATCCTAATAGACAAGCCAACTTTAAAAATAAAAAAAAGTGAGTCTAATATGTTCAATAAAGCTGGGAGCACGAGAAACCTCGCCTATACAAGTGGTATACCGAAGAGTAGAAAACCTACAAAAATACATAAATTTCAATGAAAGGAACCTAATCTTCTATACCAATTGGAACCATGTATGTGTCAAAAGAAACTAGGATTAAAAGGATGTTTCTCAGATTACAAAACATTCTCTAATCCCTCAAAACTAGGAATAAACAAGCCAACTTGAATTTTGCATAAAGAACAGATTTATGCAATTACCATATTGCTAATGAAAAAGTTTTAAGCAGTTATCGAGGTAGAACACTTTAGTACAAAAGTACTTGACAAACTCATCACAAGAAAGTTATAAAAGCTTTAATCTCTACAGGTTGTCGGCCACAGGAATGATACACGAAACAAGAACATCGCATTTGAATCCAAATCAATTTCTTGAAACATTCAGGGAGATCAATATACAAGACTTTAGATGGTGCAGTAGCTTGGAGGCTTACAATGATGTCATTACAATAACCTTGGACTACAAATCAGAAACAGTAGTAAAAATGTGGCAAACCAATCCTTTTTCTTTTCCATCTAGTGCATCTACAGAAATCTAATGATAGCCAATCCAGACAGAGAGTTCTTTTATATATTATTAAACATAAGGTATCCATTTAATCCAGAAGATTCAGAAAAAACACAGGTTATCAAAAAAGAGACTCAGAAAAAAGACATACCCCTGAATAAGTATATTCAGTTGCGGCCATAACTCTTCATCCCTCATCTTGTTTATCTTCTCAGAGATCTTATCGACAACCTGAATCGCAATTCTAATTTTTGTGGAGAGACTTCTAACCAATTGCCTTGTCATGTCAACCTTGTGAGCCTCAGCACCCTTTTGATCTAATCTCTTCAGCTTTTCAGATTTCCTTTCATGAAGCACCCTTATCTTCTCCTCAGACTGCAAAACAGCCAAAATAAGCAAATGAAAGTATTATATCACAGGAACACTGTCAATACTAGTTTTGCATATGTTTTAAGATTAATGTGAATTACACCACCACACTACAGCAACCTTTGTCTCATGGGGATGACATGATCGAAGGGGAGACATTTTCACATTCCAATTGCAAGAAAGGGAGAGAGAGAAAAAAGAACTCTTTAAGGCCCAACAAAACTAACAAGCAAGGTTATCCATGACAAACCGAAGGGGACAGAGGAGCAGGGGTAGATCTATAGTTTCCCATGTGGGTTCCCGGAAACCAGTATTTATAATGTAAAATCCTTTAAATATAACACAAAATGGAGTAGGGAACCCAGCCATAAGCTCTGTTGTTAGCTCAGTGGAGAATGAGGAACCAGCTGAATCTTTGCCCAGTTTTGAACCAGGGATCGATTCCGCTGGTCACATTTTATTTCACTCTTTTAAAAAAAGAAAAAAAAGTCGTCCTCATTTTATTTTTTTCTTTTTAATGCCCACAATGGCCAAACTAAAAAGATATCACAACCAAATTTAGAACTCGCTGAAAGTATCACTCAATTTTTCAAATTAATTTTGAAATTAAAGAGAAAATGAAAAGTAAGTAAAACTTAGGGTTCTAAATATTGTTGTTAGTTTCTTCCATTTTGCTGTTGCCTAGCCATTGTCAAGTCCTTCATTCTTCTTCCTCATTCTTTATTTTCCTCTTATATTAAAATAAAATCTCTCTTAATTTTTCTAATTATTGTCATGATATATCGCAGTTTATTACTTTTTAAATATATATTGAACATCCAGTACTTTATTCAGTAACTATTGTATGTTATTTTTTTTTATTTTTTTGATGACAAGGGAAACCCGCAGCCGCTACCCTTTGGGTGCGCACAGGGTAAAACCCCCGCCCCTATGCAATAGCTCGCAAACCACATAGGAGAGGTAACCCGCACTAGGCAAGCCCGGTGCGACGAGCTCGACCCAGAAAGCAAACCCCTTGCTTTCGCTGGCAAGGGGTTTCGAACTTGAGACCTCCAACATGGAAGTCCCAAGCCCAAACCACTGGGTCACCCCGAAGGGTACTATTGTATGTTAATTTGAAATTGCTAGAAATAGGAGTGTGCAAATTTTGGTTTAACTGATGAATTGAACCATAAAAATGTTATAGGTTATTGATACCAGTTTATCAGTTAATTGACAACTGAACGGTTGACACCTAGAGACATTTTATTATCGTTTAAACTGATAACAAATCTTTGAGCACTACAAACCAGTTAACCGATGATGGATATCTTATTGGTTCGATTATCGATAACCGATAACATATAAAATTGAATCGAATCAACCGATATGCAGATCTAGAGCCTATTTGGATGGGCTTATAGCTTTTGACTCATAAGTTAGGACTTCTAACTTATGGCTTTTAGCTTATTTTTGTCTTTTTGGCTTGAAAAAGGTGCTTAAAAGCACTTTCTTATTTTACCCAAACACCACAAAAGTGCTAATAAAGCTATTTTCGCTTAAAAGCACTTAAAATAAGTCAATCCAAACAAGCTCCTATTTCGGAAATCATAAGCTTCAAATCCTCTGCAGAGGAAATGTCTTCTACAAAAGTTCCCAGGAAGAGAAAATACAAGCAAAATACAAGCAACACTATCCACAGAAGTTTACAGACCATTTTTGTTAAGATTCAAAATTAGCAAATAACAGTAGATTGTAACAAGTTCAGATGTATTGAATTTGCAAATCTGAATTATCAGACAGATTTTTTGAGATTGTCCATAAAACTTCAAATGAATTGAATGCCAACAACTAATTAAACCACTTGATTACCACTTGCAAGCCACACCAAGAGATGTATTGAGACAATAATCACAGATGAGGAAGAAACTATTTTGAAACCTCCAATCACTTGAGCTACTGATATAAAAAACTACTGCCCTCCAAAAAGAAGAAGTCGTCCAAAGTATGTATCTAGTGAACAGTGAAAAAAAATAGACAACCTACAAAACAAAATAATACCTTAACCTCCTGATACAGTTTCTTCTCCCAGAGGTACAGCTTGTTTAACGTTGAAGAAAGGTTCTTGTACCTTGAACTAACATCTCCTTCAACATCTGAAGCAGAAGGATCATTAATCTGAATCGCAGCATTCTTTGACGTAGAAGGTTGTGATGACACTACGGACAATGAAGGTGAAATTGCATGCAACATCTTGGAAGACACTGTCCCCATGAAATCCCAAGAAATAGAAGTTAAAAATCAACTGAGACAGCCTTAAAATCAAATTACTAACATGTCCAGTATACTATGCAACAGCAAGACTTAGACTTCATTCACAAATAGAACAGTATCCTCATCTGCAAAGCTCTCGAGCATAATGATGAATACAAAAAAAATCATAATTTGATATCATAATGAAGTGCCTAGATATGTGGAAGGCATAAAAACCAAAACTTGAGATCACAACTAAGTACCTTGATATGTGGCGTTCTTACGATTGTGGGGAAGCTTTCCAACCTCCAGCATCTTAGCAAGCTCATTTCCAGATTCAGAAGCTAGCTCAAACTGAACCTGAATCTCTTTCACAACATCAGAGTCGTCCTTGAATGCACGAGCTTTGAACCCAGCAACATTTCCCCCATGCCCTGACTTTCCTTCCTCATCTACCACTTTCTTATCCACAACGTGTACCTCAAACTCCACCTGCTCATTTTCCATTGACGCACTTGGCCTCCCATGGTATAGCGACTCCGAATCACTTTGCTTCTCTCTCTCTTCCTCTGCCACTGCTTTTGAATGGTTCCCTCCGTGGCCTTCGCTTTCACCTTCGACAAACTTCTGATGTCCGTGAACTTCCTTAACAACCTCGTGCTCAAAATCCTCGTCTTCCAAATCAGGGATACCTTCTTCTTCCCTAACCTCTCTCGAGTCTCGGCTTGGCGTATACGGTGTAGGGTAATTATTACTCTCAAAAGTCTCAAAAGGGTTCAGAAAATCCCAAGGTGAGCTCCTCGGTGGAGAGGGCGGCGGGGGAGGTGGTTTTGAAGTTGACGGCGCTGATGAAGGCCCAGCTCCAGACGGCGCCGGGGGAGATGAAACACCGTACGGCCTTTGAATCGACGAGGAAAAAAAATCGCCAGCGTAATTGGGATAATTCGGATAGTTGTTGTAAGAATTAGGGTTGTTACTATTGGGATAAGGATAATAGGAAGAAGACGCTTCACCCATTCGAACAGTCTCCGGACTTATGGGTCGTTGATGATAGGTCACCGAGGGAGTCGTTTGTTTCCTCATGAAATTCATATGCATAAACCCTCCACCACCCCCACCACCACCGACTTGATATGGTGCGCCGAACCCACCACCACCGACTTGATATGGTGCGCCGAACCCACCACCACCAACTTGATATGGTGCCCCGAACCCACCACCACCACCAACTTGATATGGTGCTCCGAACCCACCACCAGCCTCGCCGACTTGATACGGTGTCCCGAACCCACCACCACCAGCGACTTGATATGGTGGTCCGAATCCACCACCCCCAGCGACTTGATATGGTGGTCCGAACCCCCCACCCCCACCCCCACCCCCACCCCCACCAACTTGATATGGTGGTGCTCCGAACCCTAGGGTTTCATGATCAGCATAAGTGAACTGACCATACTGATTACCATGAGTAGGGGTTTCCGTATGGTGATGCAAAGACTCGGAACCGGAATCATCGTCTTCGTCGGATTCAGAGTGGAAGTGAAGGTGTGAACCGGAACTAGAGTGAGAATCGTGAGGGTGGTGAATGGGAGCAGCAGGTTTTTTAACTGGATGAGGAAGGGCAGAGGAAGGTTCTGGAAGGTGACCTTTCCGATGAGCGGGGAGATTGAGAAGCGGAGAAAGAGGACTATCAGATGATGAAGTAGAAAGATCGAGATCATGTTGGAAAAACCGGTGAAGAGAAGCGCCGACGGATTTCAATGAGTGAAGATAAGCTACATGGGCTTCGGCAAAAGCGTAACGGTGGTGAATAGCTTGGTCTAAAAAGGCGCAACGTTCACGGCATAGAGCGACTGCCGGCAAGTCATCATGCTTAGAGGTTGCGCACCCCATAATTCCGAGTAATTAGAATTGGGGAATTAATTTAATTAACAATTACTGATAAAAAGGGAAATAAAGAAGTCATGGTGATGGTAAAGTGAGAGAAACAGAGAGGGATGGAGCAAGATCAACGAATGAAGGGTAAAGAGAAAGAAGCATCACTATTCACTCACCCACCCACGCACCCCCCCAAGTCCTAGAGGGACAAAGATGGAATCTTTGCCAGCTGAGATTTCGTCTGTTTATAGGAAGATAAGAGAAAAATGGCTGCTCCGACGACCCAATATACTCTGCTTTTTCCTTTTCAACAAATTAGGTAGAGATGAATACATACATTATTGCTACTCTTACTTTTGCTGATTAAAAATGTCATTTAACATGCAATTTGAATTGTTAACCTACCCCTACTAAATGATAAAAACTAGCTCATTCAAAAAAAGTCATCTCCTCTATATTGTAAGCTTTGGCATACAAAATAACCTATTTTAGTTACTTATATGGGTGAACAGCAACAAATATTTCGTGGTACTTATATGGTTGAATGGTACTAATAAAAATTATTTGAAAAGAGTGAAAATTATGATTTTAAGGAAAAAGTGTAAGCGTGTATATGTGGAAATGGGAGGTTGTAGGAGTAGTTGCATTCCGATTGGACTAGTCTTACTTGTAATTTTAGTTTGACAAGTTTTTATTTTGGTCAAAACTCTACCACGAGTCCTATGTGGTTGCCACTTTTTTTCTTGGAAGAAAATGCATTCCTTAGGTATCTTTAGAAAAAGTTTTTTATAAATAAAAGAAAATATATATTACTCCTAAAAGTTTGTTTGTAAATTATGGCTAACATTCTTGTTTACTTAAAAAATACACCAAACACAAAGATAAGTCCAAGTCAATCTAATTCCGTATATCAAATGACCCCTAGGTCCAATATAGTCATATTTTTAAACCTTCATGAATAAGATAGCCTTAAAATAGAAAAATAAATTGTCAGATATTAGATATCTTTTCTATCGTACAATTGTCATCACTTAAATATAAAAATTTTAATGTCTTTACTTTTTTATAAAAATATATATATCTTTATTTGTGTATGAAAATGACATAGAGTGATTGACCATTGTCTTTATTGGTATATATATATATATATATATTCTAGTTTAATTTGCAAGTGCCAATGATCGACTATTATCGGTATATAATAAATAATTATTACAGTATAAAGTATTTTCCACTAATTAATCAATCAAACATTGAAAAAATAGTATTTTCATGGGGAACAAAGTTTGATGTTCAAGGATGATTTTACCAAAGTTTGAAGTTTGAGGACCAAATGAAAAACTTGGGGAACATTTTGGACTAAATCTGCAACTCTCGATTTTAAAATTGAATATGCATGAATGAGGTATAGTAATGATTGGATTAAATGTGACAGTGAAATGCTATAAAGTTTCTTTATTTCAGGACTTATCAGTCATCACTCATTGAATCATTCAAAAAACATCTCCACAATCACTGTTATACCATTTTTCTTTTTGCCATTTTATGCAAAAATTGACCTCCTTTTCACTCTTCATACTTTCTCATGTCCCACCTCTCAAAACTCTACTATTGTTAAAAAGTAGTATAAGTTTTGGGTGAGTTATTAACGAAGCCTTTTTGTTAATTTAATTTATTCACTTCAGTCCATATGGAAGTTGTGTTGATATATTGTCCGATTGAAAATCTTTTATAGGTGGACTAACTGATCGATCGAATTGCGTAGGCCATCTTACAAAATCTTTAATTTCGAAAATCAGGTTTATCATTATTAATCAAATCAGGGCGGATACGATTTATTGACAAAATGAAATTTCCATAGTTTTAGCCCTAAGAAGAAAAAAAATCTAAAAAAGAGGAAAAGTTACTAAGATAAGGGAGCTTTAAATAAGCAAGCAAGGAGAATAGGTGGGAAAAAAAAAGAAGCAAGGCACCAGTTGAAAAAGGATATTTTAAAGAGGATTGTTTTATTTGTTTGATATGTTACTTATACAATATATGAACAATAAATTATTAGAATAACAATTAGGCGGATTTGTTAACTCGTTTTAGCTTAATTTATTTGAGTTGAAGTAATGACTCGTCTATTTATTGATTCTACCTTCTTTGCTTAGTCCATTTGACACTCCTATTTGTAGCATAACACAATTTGGTCCAGATCAAAGGCAGTTTTTATGTTGCTTTGTACTATTTGCACATAAATTTGACTCTAGTCTTTTGATAAAAAGCTATTGTCATTAGTCAATTAATAAGATAAACTACTACACTTATGAGATGATAGTTGTAGATCTAATCACAAAAGATAAATTATGACCTTTTCATTAATTTAAAGAGTAAGTTTTACCGTTTCCCTAAACTCTATATGCATTGACAAATGACATGTTCACACATTTATCACGATTTCACCGACTTTATTAGGTTACTTATCTTCTTTACCAAGTTATCAACTTTGTTTAAATGTTGCATTAGAGGCATTTAACTTATAACAAATGACGATTAAAAGAGTTGGAATTACACAATTGTAAACAAAACACAGTATCGACTAGCCGTTTCTATGATTAAGAGTTGTAATGAGGGTAATTTTCTTAAATGACCTTTCTTTAAGTTTCAATTGATATTCGCATAAATTAAATATGTATGTTAACAAACACATGAAAAATTACTATAGTATGATTTTGGACGAAAATAAATAATAATCTTGAGTACTAAAAGTTTATAATTCAATGAATGAATATATTTTCAAAGAGGGAAAAAAAAGGAAAAGATGCTTTTGCTCTATTTCTCTTCAATTTTCCATTTCCAGCATGCTGCTAAGGCCTAAGAGGAAATCGTTCATTTTACTTTTTCCCTTCATGCTTCAATAATGAAGTGCTTGCTGCCTTAATATGAAACTTTTCGATGATAATACAAATTTAGTTCAATTCTAATATAGATTCTAAATGCTAAATAGAAAACACACAAAAAGTAGCTATTGATCTGACGACATAGAATTTGGAATTGGCCCTACGGAGATATATTATATTTGCTAAAAGTAAAAAGATTTATAATGCATACACATATAAAACATAATTTGGACTCATCCTACGTACGAGAAGTAAGTATATTTTATACATGATTTTTTTAAAAACAGTGGCATGAACTGTTAATTATGGAGTATTAAGTAATTTGTCAATATAATAATTACGAGTTGATTTAGAAATATAAAATTTCAGGAGACGACCATGGTAGTGCACGTGGTCAATTAATGTCTTTTATATGTATTCGACCTTTTTAATTGACTAATTAATTATATGGTCAGTCATTACCTATGTATATTTTGTTTTTTGAAATGTAAGTTTGAGCATGAGAAAATAATAGGCAAACGACTTCATTGTTCCTATATATTTAGGATGCAAAATCAGTAGAAATTATCATCCATGAGTTTTTTTTTTTTTTCTTATTTTTAATATTAATATAATAAATAACTAGATTTTTGCACCAAAAATCTAATTTTGAAATCCAAAACTTTTGATTGGTCGAGCAGTTGAATAGAAGTAAACAAGCAATAGGTATTAGACGCAAGTACTTCTTCTTTTAATTAATTATTATTTGCAATAATAATAATAAGTACTTGAAAGTTGAAATAAAGGAGATTGCCGGGGTCCTCAACCTAAGTACTACTAATTTGTACATTCATATCCATGCATGTGATACAGTAGTACTCTAGCAAGGTGAACAAGAATTTAAAAACTTCGGATGCATCAATATTAAGTTAAAAAAAATAAAAATTAGTCACGTGTATGGATCTGTTAGCTTGTACCAGTAGTACGAAGCACAATTTCATGTTTTCTATGGGGATACTATTAATTATATTTAGCTTTTGTCAGTTTCTCAAGATAGATATACATATACATGATTTTTTTCGAAGTTAATGAGTGTACGTGCACCCTCACATAAACATGCATGTGAGTCCGCCTCTACTTAGTATAGTATATATAATATACTTTTTCATATAAGATTTTTATTTTTATACATAAGAGATTTAAAAATGTCCTTTACTTCTCTTCAAATTGTAAAAAGGACAAAAGATCTCTTTTTTTTCTTTTTACTCCTTTAGTTTCAAGTTGTTTGTCTTATTTTGACTTGATATGAATTTTAGGAAATTTAAAAAAAAAACTTTTGAAATTTGTATTTTAAATTAAAGATATGTCAAATATTTCATTTAATTTTGTGGTCTCAAACATGTCATGTAGAAACTCGAAATTAAAAAGTTGTTGAAAAAGAAAACAATCATTTTTAAAAAATTAGGCTAATTAACACATTAAAATGGAGAAAGTAGTGCAGGAGGATTTATAAAGTGATGCTGGAAATATTCATGCATGCATGCTGTCAATTGTCATTTCTTCATGTATAAAGTGTAAAAAAATAAAATAAGAGACCCTTTTGTTCAGAAGGGGAATTGAGGATGTGCTCTTTTTGTGAGATAGAGTATGTGTTGTGTTTTTATCTATCAACTCCAACCAATCACTTAAATGGTGGGCAACTTTTAATCATCATGCTTTTTCATAGCAATGTGCTTTAATTTCTGTGCCTCTGCCATGCACTATATATATACTGTACGTTTAATTATTTTACAACTACTATGGTTATTTAATTATAGGTAGCTCGTATCATAAAAAAAAAACTCTTAAACATTATTTAACTTTGACTCTATATATTTTATGTGCAGTATTAATTAGTAGGTCCCCACAAGATAATTAAGTGATTCTCCATGTTAACTAACAGTAATTGACATGCATGTGCTGCACTAATTGTGTATATTTTGGACTGTTGCATGAAACTTTCCAGCTTGTTATTCATGTGTTACATTACTGGAACTATATATATGCTATTCCTTAGAAAACATCCATATTCCATCCTACCCAAAAGTAATTGCTTTAATTTCACTTCTTACTATTAACTAACTTGGTCCTCAATAAATTGTGTAACAAGCTTCAAATGAGTTTAAATAGTACGTACTCCTAATGTGTATCTAGCTACCGGCATTATCTTATAGTTGAAT